TTACATCTGATAGCTTGTTAAACAAATGTGAATATGTGGAGTGAACAATTGATGAAAAGTATAAAGAAACCACCAGCCCCACAAAAATGAACTTACCCCTGGTTTGGGTAGTGACAAGTACGCACGCTTCTCCCCTAAAAACAATACACCAAAATTGATTATGTAGTGTACTTCTTAAATCTTCTCTCCAGTTTTGGAAAAGTCATCATATAAAAATGTACCTACCCTTTATTGGTTCCTCTTCATAGATCAGACAGGTTCTGTATTTTGCCATGCATAGCATTGTAAAAGGGGAATTTTAATACTGCCTATATTTGCGCTTACGGAAAGCATTGACACATTCACCAGAAACCTTTCCTTTTAGTTAATAACATTTGTACAAAAATCCTTTTATCTTTCTGAATGCCAAGAGGAACAGCTAATTGGGTGTGGACAAAGCCTATGTACAAGGTCTAGTGTACATGATTAAAATCAAGTAATCTCTGAAGTAAAGTTCAGATTTTGTAATAGTATGAGGAACCATTTGCTTTTTGATAGGACCGTGACATTTCTTCCATTGAAATCAACACCAGTATGTACTTAATGCTTTTTTAAAAAGTTTTTGTTTTATTATATTTATCTTCCTCTAAGTGTCTCAAGTCAGAATGCATGAGTTACCCTTCATTTTAAAATACTGAATGATGGACTAAAATCAGCTACAGTGTTTTCAGTCTAGTGGACACTTAAGGTTAAGTCCAATATTTCAGATGTTTGTAGAAATTAATGGGAATTTAAATTTTGATCAGATAATATCAATATTTTTTCCCCCATAAGAATCACCTTTCCAATTCTCCGTGATGCAATTCAGGTCAATTCAGACAAGTACACCAATCAAAATTTCAAAATCATCTTTCAGGTTTTCCAAATCACTTTTCAAATTTTTCTATGAGGCAATTCCGGTTAATTCAGACACAAGCATAGTTCATTCCAACCAGCGTTCAATATTAAAAGCAATATTTGAACTTTCAGTTTCAAAAGCCAACCAATATTTTACCTGACTTCATTTTTCTTCTTTCACTACTTTCATTTCTCTCGTACATTGCTTTCTAGGATTGAATTCCATTTGCAAATATGGTTTTCACTTCAGACATCATACCAAATCATAATTTATGCAAAATAATTTTCAAATAAATATCAAAGTATGATTGAGTCTGAGTTGCCTGAAAAAAGGGTTTAATCATTCTGGGGGGGGCCCAGACTGTTGGGGGCAATATGCTAACTTAGTAAAAGTGCTTAGAGAGGGCTGCAAAGCACTGTGAAGTGCTATTGCTATTCAAAATGTACATCTAACAATAGGTAGATAAATAGGTAAACTTCCATAGCTGCTAGTAATTCGTAATTGTGACCCGACAAATGCGCGCCGACGAANAAAAATTGTTATAAATACATATTATTAATAACAGTTATGAGATCATATAATTGTGAATGTATATATGAAATTGATAAAATTAAAATAATAATAATGAAAAAAGATAATCCCATCTTGATTTTCTTTACGGTAAGACGTGACAAATTTTGGAGGAGGCTTTCAAGTTTGAATTATCCTACTCTGTAATATACCTGTATTTTTCGGAGTATAAGACACACCTGGCTTTTGTGTAGGATAACAAGAGAAAAAAAAGGCTGCCACTGCCTCCTAGCAGGTTGCCTCCTTGCAGCAAACAGCCTGTTTCTGTTTCAGCACAGCCTGATTACCACAAGCAGCTGATTGTCAATTGGATCGGCCTCCCAATGATCAGCTGTTTCAGGCTGCAGTGATTGCCTATTGCCGCCTTCGTGTGCCCAATTTTGGCCGCCGCATCCCATTTTCGGCCTCTACGCCTTGTTTTCCGCCTGTTCCAGGTGGCGGGGATCAGAATGTGTGAAAAATGGGACATACGGAGGCTGAAAATGGGGCACGCAGAAGCGGCAATAGCAATCCCTGCAGCCTGAAACAGCTGATGGTCGGGAGGCCGATCCAACCAACAATCAGCTGCTTGTGCTAATCAGGCTGTGCTGAAACTGAAACAGGCTTTTTGCTGTTTGCTGCAAGGAGGCAAATTGCTGGGACGCAGAGAGGCCAAAGGGTGGGGGCCAGCGGGTGGGCGGGGCTATAAGACGCACCCAAATTTTCACCCTTTTTTAGGGGCGGGGAGTCCGTCTTATATTCTGAAAAATACGGTAAGTAGTCCTCAAGTTAGGACCGTTCACTTAGCCTCCCTCCAAAGTTACAACAGCTGGATAAAGTGACTTACGGCCAGCCCTCGCACTTAACGACCATTTGGTTTCCACTTCCTTCAAGGGTTGGGCTGTGTAGCCTTGTTCAAGCCCCTCCTTCACGGTACGGTTCTACTTTTCCCACGGTCAGCTTTCAATTCCTTTTCACTTCTTGGGTGAAGGTTGGAGAACAAGGGCTTCGTCTCTGACATGGGGAAAAATAATGCGCCTTCCAGGTCAACAGTTGGGATTTGAAGCTGGGTGGATTCTTTGCCGTTCACCTCCCCATCTCGGCTGCCACCTCCCCCAAGCGCTCCGAGCTAACAAGCCGCTATTCCTCCTCCTCCTCCTGCAGGAAAATGACATTTGGCCGCGTGAGCGACCTGGGCCAGTTCATTAGGGAATCGGAGCCAGAGCCGGACATCAAGAAGTCCAAAGGTGAGTTGCCTTTTCCTCCTCAAGAGAAGATTCTCCTAAGCCAAGGTTGCTCAGCCTTCGCAGGTTGAAGATGGGTGGACTTCCAATCCCAGAATTCCCCAGGCAGCCTGCTTTAAGAGGGGTGGACTTCCACCCCAGAATCCCCCAGCCAGTATGATTGAAGAGGGGTGGACTTCCACTCCCAGAATCCCCCAGGCAGCAGGCTTTAAGAGGGGTGGACTTCCACTCCCAGAATCCCCCAGCCAGCATGCTTTAAGAGGGGTGGGCTTCCAATCCCAGAATTCCCCAGCCCTGTTGACTCCATAAAACATGTAATTTCTCAGTCCTCCTTTTTCCTCTCTTGCCAGGGTCCATGTTTTCACAAGCAATGAAGAAATGGGTGCAAGGAAATACAGATGAGGTAAGGGGCGTACTACTTATTGGGGGGGGGATTTGTTTGGTGACTTAGAGAGACCCTCCTTTGCGTCTCTGGGGACCAGGCAGGTTTTAGGTCAGAAGAAACAAAAATTCTTCACCTGAATTAAAAAAAAATGGTTGCAGAAGAAGCCCGTCTAAATACTTGGGAAGTGAACCCTTGGATCAGATTGATTCGTTCCTTAAGTGAGCCACACCCAATTTTATCATCCTTTTTGTCATGGTCGTTGTGTGAGTCAGGTAGTCATTAAGTGAATCCTACTTTCCCCATTGGCTTACCAGAAGCCACTTGGGATGGTTGCCTAGAATGACCCTTGGATGCTGCAATCATTGTAAATACATGCCACCTGTCAATCCCCCTAATTTTGATGACGTGATCATGCAGATGTGACGGTCATAAGTTTGAGGACTGCCCCCAAGTCACATGTTTCAACGCCTTAGTAACTTTGAACAGCCATTAAACAAATACAGAAAGTTCCCAAACTTTAACAACCTTTGATTTAGAAACCACCAAAAGTTACAAGGGCACTGAAAGAACTGACTTATAACCATTATTCACACTTACGACTAGCATCCCCATCGTCACATAATCCAAATTCAGAAGCTTGGTAACTGACCTGTACTTATGACGGTTGCAATGTCCCGGGAGAGAGGGGGAGGTGTTGCGTGATCCCCTTTTGCGACCTTCTCACAAGCGAAGTCCATGGAGAATTCGGATTCACTTAACGACTATGACAAGGAAGGTAGAAAAATGGGGCCAAACTCAATTAATAATAACTGTCTCACTTAGCAACCGAAATGTGAGGCTCAATTGCCGTAAGTTGAGGACAACCTGTATTGGAAGGTAGGGGCACGTCATTTGCATAGTGGCCCATCAAATCTGGTTTGAAAATATAGTTTGGGCCCCAGATGAATTGGAGCGGGAGGCCTACACCTTGGGGTATAGCTGTTGTCAGCAGCCGAAGAGGAGGAGGTGTCAGGGACAGCATCAAGCGAACCTAAGAGCTCCGAGGGGGAAGAGGGAATGGAGCTGGCAGAGGGGGGGGGGGGGGCGCGGAGCCTGGGCCGTCCGTCAGCCCTCAGATGGAGAGTCAACAGTCCCCAGGTCTGGAGGTGGTTGATGAGGAAGAGGAGGAAAAGCTGGGTCCAGTGTCTGACACATAAATGTGCAGAAGGCAGACGAGAGGAGAGCAGTGGAAATCTATGGGCTGGTCCTCGGGACGGAAGAGCTACCACTGCTAATGAAGCCCCCACCCTAGCTCTGGGGATAAAAGGCAGGTGGCAGAGATGAATAGATGTAGGAGAGGAGAGGAGAGCAGTGGAAATCTATGGGCTGGTCCTCGGGACAGAAGAGCTACCACTGCTAATGAAGCCCCCACCCTAGCTCTGATGATAAAAGGCAGGTGGCAGAGATGAATAGATGTGGCAGAGGAGAGGAGAGCAGTGGAAATCTATGGGCTGGTCCTCGAGACGGAAGATCTACCACTGCTAATGAAGCCCCACCCTAGCTCTGGGGATAAAAGGCAGGTGGCAGAGATGAATAGATGTGGCAGAGGAAAGGAGAGCAGTGGAAATCTATGGGCTGGTCCTCGAGACGGAAGATCTACCACTGCTAATGAAGCCCCACCCTAGCTCTGGGGATAAAAGGCAGGTGGCAGAGATGAATAGATGTAGGNCTGTGACTTCATTATTATTATCATTATTAGTTTTCTCCCATCCCATCATCCCCAAGACTAGCAGGGTTTAAAAGAGTCCCACAAGACAAGCATAACTCCTGGTTGCTTCCCCTCTTATGATCTCCTAGTGGCCTCCTTTTCCAAATCCGAAACAGATCCAACTCCTGTTTAGTTTTTGGAGATCAGCCGAGGCCGGCTAGCAGCTGCCTCGGCTGGGCTGAAAGGAGCAATAATTCAGACACTGAAATGAAGTCACAGTCTTCCATTTTGGGGCCTACCTTGCAGGGTGAGCGCTCCGGCACTGAACCACAGGCTATTCAGGAAGGTGAAATCGTTCTCTCGGTTTCCGCTCCATTCTGAAGGGCTCATTCTGCGAAGAAGCACAGCAAACACCCTGGTGCTTTCTGCTGGAGGCCGGGGATATAGGTCTGGGGTTCCCCTCTCGCCCCCTCTCCCTCTCTCTCTCCCCCTCCCCCCCCCTCTCTCTTTTCTTTTTCTTTAAAAAATTTGCCTCTTGGTGCGTCTTATACTCCGAAAAATACGGTATTTGAGGACACGGCCCCCTTTTGCGACCTTCTGGCCAGCAAAGTCAATGGGGGAAGCAGGATTCCCTTAACAACCGTGTGACTGGTTTAGGAACTGCAGGGATTCGCTGCCTGCCCTCCAAATTTGGCGAAGGAATCGTCTGGCTCCTGGCCAGCCCGGGGGGGGGGGCGCCTTTGAAATCGCCTCTTTTTCAACCGAGGGAGGCGGGTGCGGGTTACTCACCTTCCGGCCAAGAAGAGACACAGACTGGAGAGCAGGTAAGCCAAGAGGATGCCGATCCAGGTCTCCTTGGTGAAGGGGGTCAGGAAGTGGAAGAGGGAGGCATCTTCCAAGGCCGCTTCCTTCTCGAGCAGGATGCCGATGCCGGTGTACAGGAACGGCTGGGTGAAGTCCACTGCGTCTTCTCGGACCGACGTGATGGTCAAGGGAGCTACGGCCAGGTCAGCTTCCTGGGAGGAGAAGAAGAAGAAGGGGAGGTTAGGGTTGAAGGTTGGGGAGCATCCTGGGGGTTCGATCCTAGGTAGAGGCTGATATTTCTCTCTCTCTCTCGGGTACAATGAGAATATATCGGCTGAACAAAAAAACCCTGCTCTGGTGACAGGAAAGGCATCCGGCCAATAAACACTCAGCTCCATTCATCTTGCCCCGAAGCAAGGGATTACGGGGTCGTTAAAAAGAAGGGAAAAAAGATAGAAGGGGGAAACCTCGGTAGAGGGGAAGGAAGAAGGCCTTGGCAGAAGAAGCGGAGGGGTGAAGCTTAGAAGCCGAAGGGGGCGAAACGTTTGTGAGCCCCAAAATTGCAAGGTAACACTCAGAAGTGGTTCAGGTAGGACACCTGCCTGATTCACTGGAGCGAAAGGAGGGCAGGAAGATTTGCAAGATTTTTTTGGGGGGGTGCTACAGGTAGTCCTCGACTTACAGCAGTGACCGTTCAAAGTTACGACGGCACTGAAAACAGGGACTTCAGGCCCTTTTTCCACACTTACGACCGGCGCAGCATTCACATTCACAAGCTCGGCAACTGACTCATATTTATGACAGTCCCAGCATTCCGGAGTCACGCGATCCCTGTTGGCGACCTTCCAACCAGCCAATTGGGGGAAGCCCGGTTCACTTAACAACCAGGTCATTTCCTTAACCACTGCAGTGATTCGCTTAACAATTGTGGGCTGTAAAAACGGGGCAAAGCTCACTTAACTAATGTCTCTCTTAGCAATGTAAATCCTTTTTTATCGGTCCCGTTGAGACTGAATGGTCACTAAATGAACTCTTGTTCAGCCGATGTCTGCCTGGGTTTCCCCCCCCCCTCCCACAGCCCCGGAATCCTGGCTATCTATATTAGCCCAGGATTTTGGCTTCATATAATGGCTATCTAAAAAGGGACGCGGTGGCTCAGTGGTGAACACGCTGAGCTTGTCGATCAGAAAGGTTGGCAGTTGGGCAGTTCGAATCCCCAGCGCCGCGTAACGGAGGGAGCTCCCGTGACATGTCCCAGCTTCTGCCAACCTAGCAGTTCGAAAGCACGTAAAAAATGCAAGTAGAGAAATAGGAACCACCTTTGGTGGGAACAGCATTCCGTGCGGCTTCGGGAGTTGAGTCATGCCGGCCACATGACCACGGAGACGTCTTCGGACAGTGCTGGCTCTTCGGCTTTGAAACGTAGATGAGCACCGCCCCCTAGAGTCGGGAACGACTAGCACATATGTGCAAGGGGAACCTTTAGCTTTACCTTATCTATCTTAACTATATCGGTTGGGAAACTGGTTGCGAATGTCACCTTCTCTTGACACACATATGGTGTGTGTGTGTGTGTGTGTGTGTGTGTGTGTATCGATTGTGGAAACAGGTCAGAAGATACAAGCCGTGACAGTACGTTGA